TTCCTTCCTCCCTCCCTCCCTCCCTTCCCCACGATCACATGCAGACCAAGCAGCCAGGTCAGATCTGCTGCTGGCCCTTAAACCCTGCAACGAATCAATTTCTGGAGCTCCATGTAAACGGAGCAGTTGGGATGAAAGGATCCGGATCTCAGGGCAGTGCGACTCCAAAGACTGTGAATCCAACGCCAGATAGTGCCAGGGGATAACGAAGCCCAAGGCCACTGGGCTTGTGCTCGTGGCGGGTCCCCATCCGTGGGTGGCTCTGAGCTTCCCGGCCCTCTAGGAGAAATGCACACACACACCTGCAGCCAGTCAATCCTCCCTCTTCTCTTATTCCCACCTTTAACTGTGGTACTGCTCTTTCTGTAAGGTAAAGGTTCCCCTTGACATTTAGTCCAGTCGTGTCTGAATCTAGGACACGGTGCTCATCCCCGTCTCCAAGCCGTACAGCCAGTGTTTGTCCGTAGACCGTTTCTGTGGTCATGTGGCCAGCGCGACTAGACACGGAACGCCGTGACCTTCCCACCGAGGTGGTCCCTATTTATCTACTTACATTTGCATGCTTTCGAACCGCTAGGTTGGCGGGAGCTGGGACAAGTGGCAGGAGCTCACTCCTTCACATGGATTCGATCTTACGACTGCTTGGTCTTCTGACCTTGCAGCACAGAGGCTTCTGCGGCTTAACCCTCAGCGCCATCACATCCCTTTTGCTCTTTCTGTACCACTTGTTATAGTTGGCGGCCTTTCTGGGGCGCATTTCCCTTCAGGGGTTTCAGGCAGTTTACATGACGTTCCTCGGTCCCAGGTGATCCTCCAAATAACCCTGCGAGGTACAGCAGGCAGGGAGATTGTGCGTTCCAGAGGGCAGCCCGTGGGATTCACGGCCCCATGGGGATTGGAACCTATCCTTCTTAGAAGGATGAATCCAGATGTGGTTCTTCTGAGCTGCCAACCTGTGTGCGTTGTGTGTTGTGCAGTGCTTTGCTGGTAGAGACGTCCCGGTACTGCTGATCCAAAGGCAGCTGGGGCGGGGGGGGGCTGCAAATTCTTCAGCCTGCCTTTTCTTTCTGCAAAGATTGTGTGCTTATTTTAGGTTTTGTTTTGGCTTTTTTAATGGAGAGGATCTGAATCCAGGCCCCCACCCACACCCCGCCCCATTAAAATTCTGGGTGCAAGGTAGAATGACAACGGGCCTAAAAGCCATGAAGTTCGGAGCCTTTCTGGCGAAAGAGCAGAGGTGCGAAAGATCATGCTTGGAGTGCCACTCCCATCCAGGATGTTTGGGCGATAGTCCCAAAAGGCACCCTTTTAAAATAAGTAGTCGTGTTCGTCCCCAGAGTTAGCTTTTCCCAACCTTAGAAGGTGCGGGGGGGGCGGTGAAGGAGAGCCAACCTTTGGCCCTCCCAGACGCCGTTGCTCCACTGCACAGAATCCGCTTGGCAAGCGATTAACTTGGAAATAGGTACTTTTCACATGAATGTGTCAAAGACTGACTGTGCATCTCCGGCCACAAATAGGATTAAATCCATGCTTTAAAAACATTGTGGATGTCTCTGCATTTTTGTTTGTCTTTCCAGAGGCCTTGGGCCCTCCAGGCTGAAAAAACAACCCAAATTGCCTCCACCCGCATGTTTTTCTTTCTTATCTAGAAGTGTGCTGTACAGTCTATGGTATCAGGCCAGTTTCCCTGGGCTTGGCTTTCTAAGAAATGGAGAGGCATTCTGAAAGGCCACCTGCCCATTCTTTGAAGGGCACCTGCGGTCCACCAGGGTAATTCTAGCAGGGAGAAATGCTCCAGGAACGGAAGGCT